AGAAGCAGAAGCAGCAAACCCGCGGACGTCTTGGGACTTAAGAGGGTCAAGTAGGGTTTGCGAGGGTTTAGTAGGGTCTGAAGGGTTATGTAGGGTTTAGGAGGGTTTATGAGGGTTCACAGGAGTTTTTGAGGGTTTAGTAGAGTTTAGGAGTGTGTATGAGGGTTTAGTGGACTTTAAAAGGCTATGGGAGGCATCAGGAGGACTTAGTAAGGTTTCGTAGGGTTTAGTAGGGTTTAGGGTTTAGGGTTTAGGGTTTACTGGGGAGGGGGAACAGCTTGTTGCAGACGTCGAGGTGGAACTGCTCGGTTATGGACTCGGGCCGCAGGCTGCCAGGGTAAGCCACCTAAACCACAAATTAGGGTTTAGGGTTTAGGGTTTAAAGGCGAGCAGTAGCACGCAGAGGCACGCTGAGCCCAAGTGGATCTACGGCTCAGAGCCCCCAAGCTTGGGGTTTAGGGTTTAGGGTTTAGGGTTTAGGGTTTAGGGTTGAGGGCTTAAGGTTTACAGTTCAGGGTTTAGGGTCTAGGGTATAGGGCTTAAGGTTAACAGTTCAGGGTTTAGGGTTTAGGGTTTAGGGTTTAGGGCACCTGCCAAAAGCCAAACTGCGCGCAGCTCTGCCACATCCACAGTCGCGTGTTTGAGAGCACCGAATTATCTGCGGAGTCTCCAAACCCTAAACCCTAAACCCTCAAACCCTAAAGCCTAGATCCTCAAACCCTAAACCCTCAAACCCTAGATTCTCAAACCCTAAACCCTACCTCAGCACCTCCCAACCCCAAAACCATCAAACCCTAAACCCCCGCAAAGCTCCGAGCTAGCCTCAGCTTACAACTTGCATGCAGGTAAATGGCAACCCAAGCCCTAAACCCTAGGCCGTCCCAAACCCTAGCCCCCCAACCGTAAACCCTAAACCCTAAACCCTAAACCCTAGACTTACCCAGCTGCGTGCCCGTGGCCTCCAGCATATTAACACTTCTGCAAGAAGTCTTTTTGCGGCGAAGAGAAAACTTGAAGTACTTCGCCAGGCCCTCCAGCAGCTGCTGCTCAGCATCTTCCTCCTTTGCTGCTGCTGCTGCTGCTGCTGCTGCTGCTGCAGCTCCTTCGCCTTCTCTTTCTTTCCCCTCCTTTTCTCCTTTCCCTTGGACCTCCATAGAAGCCTCCCCCAAGGGGGCCCCCTGTAGGGGCCCCTGGGGGGCCCCCTGGGGAGCCCCCTGGGGGGGCCCCTGGGGGGCACCCTGGGGGGCCTCCTGTGGGTTTCCCTGGGGGGCCCCCAGGGGGGCCCCCCGTAGGGGCCCCTGGGGGCCCCCCTGGGGGCGCTCTGTTTGCTTTGGAGTCTCTTGAGGGTTTTCTGCAGCTCCTAAATAGTTGCAGAGGGTTTCCACTAGGGGGCGTTCGACAGGCCTGTTGTACTGCAAAGTGCAAACCCTAAACCCTAAACCCTAAACCCTCGGCATATATATCAAATTCTGGACCGGCAGAACTGAAGCCCTGTGAGGCTTCGGTTTCTCTCTGTGAAGGCCCAATCCCCGCGTAAATGCCCCTTGTCCCCTAAACCCTAAACCCTAAACCCTAATTTGTGGTTTAGGTGGCCTACCTGGACTGCTTCAGAAACAGCATCCACAACTGCATAAACAAAAGCCACTCTCTCGAGATCGCTTTGGACTTTCAAGTCTTCGCACCCAAACCGCCGCAGTTCATCTTCCTGCAGCCAAACCCTAAACCCTAAACCCTAAACCCTAAATCCTAGCCGTTGTGCCCTGAGCTCCAAACCCTCAACCCTCTCGAACCCTGCGGGGACTGCGCGGCACAGCTAAAGTGAAGGCTACACGCGGGGTTTAAAATCAGGGTTTAGGGTTTAGGGTTTAGGGTTTGGGGTTTACGAGTTGGGGGGTTTTGGCTGCGCGGCTGAGTGCGCGGAGCGCAGCAGCAGCAGCAGCTCTGCAGTGTACAGACAGCTGAAACCCCACAACTCTGTCAAACCCTAAAAAGTGGTTTTCTGCTTTTGTTGGAGAAGAAGAACTTATGGCCCCTCCTATTAAAAAGGGGTATTTTATACGCCCGTACGCAGCCAACGCCCCTGCTCACAAACCCTAAACCCTGGACCCTAAACCCTAGACCCTAAACCCTAGATCCTGAAGGGACACTCCGAACTGGGAACCTTGAGCGGTTGGCCCTAAAGGCCTAAGTCTAAGCCCTGCATCCTTAACCCTAAACCCTAAACCCTAAATCGTAAACCCTAGGTTGTGCAAAAGGGATTGGAGCTAGCTAGTTAGCTCCAATCCCAGCTACCTATCTAGCTAAATAGCTAGCTAGCTAGCTAGCCAAATAGCTGGCTAGCCAAATGGCTAGCTAGCTATCTAGTTAACTAGCTGGCCAGGCAGTTGGCTAGCCAAAGATCTACTTAGCTAGCTACCTATCCAGCTAGCTAGCTAGCTAGCTATCCAGCAAGCTATCCAGCTAGCTAGCTAGCTATCCAGCTAGCTAGCTAGCTAGCTAGCTGCCTTCAGCCATCTGAAGCTCCAGCAGCCTAACTAGCTTGCTGTTTGCATGAAATACTGCCTAGCTAGCCTCCAAGGTACCTGTGTACCTAGCTAGCTAGCTAGCTAGTTAGCTAGCTAGCTAGCTAGCTAGCTAGCTAGTTAGCTAGCTAGCTAGCTAACTAGCTAACTAGCTAGCTAAGTCTCTAGCTAGCTAGCTGTCTAGCGCCTAACTAGCTAGCTAACTCCATAGCACATAAGTAGCTGGCTGGCCAGCTAGTTGGCTAGCTGGCTGGCTAGCTAGCTGGCTAGCTGGCTGGCTAGCTAGCTGGCTAGCTAGTTGGCTGGCTGGCTGGCTAGCTAGCTGGCTAGCTAGCTGGCTAGCTAGTTGGCTAGCTAGTTGGCTAGCTGGCTGGCTAGCTAGCTAGCTGGCTAGCTAGCCATTCAGCTATTTGGCGGCTGCGCTTTGCAACTAGTCACATCTACACGAAAACAAAACCACAAAAGCTGCTGCTGCAGCAGCGGTTTCCCCCTCCGCTGCTGCTGCTGCTGCTGCCGCTGCTGCTGCTGCTG